GTTCGAAACACGACTCCGTTAAATCCGATATTATCGATATCAATAACAATCATTATTATTGTTTCTTACGCCGCGATTTATGTCGTTCCACGCTATATCTCGTCGTAATAATATTACACACGAGTAAAATTTATAAATAGACTGTTAAATTTTTATTTATATTTAATATATATTTTTATATTAATATTAATATTATAATTAAATATATAACATATTTTTTAAATTTTTATTTGCATAATTTGTATTAAACGATATATAAATAAATAATCGAGTGAAATATTTTTTCAAACGTACGATAAAAAGATTTCTTATTATAAAAAGAATGCATAAAAGAAATCTGCAATAAAAAACGAATGCAACAATGAAGTATTAAGACAAACGAAATATTGAAGTTTTAATTTTCAATTTTAAAAATTAATAAACTTTTCAAATAAACGACAATATCTAATAAAATCAATGATATTTCGCAAAATTATATTATTTAATTATTACTCAATAAAAATATCTCGATCTCCCTGTAAAACCATTTCTTTAACAGACCCATCTCTTTAAAAAAAAAAAAAGAGAGAGAGAGGAAAACGACGCGTATCGTTCTCAATTTAACCAAGTTACAATTTCTCCTCCTCCTCCTCCTCTTCCTCCTCCCGCCCGGAAACGTCGTTTCATCGTTTCACGGGGACGACACGTCGATCCAAAACGATCGAACATGGAAACAGTCTAGTAGTATTACTAGACAGAGGGAGAGAAAGAGAGAGATATATACGTGAGGACAAATCCTTATCGGTTTTACACGTCAAAAGGTAATCGCGATTTCGCGGGTGCGCGATGGTCGACGGGGTTAATGGAGAAGAGAAGGGGGGAGGGGATTCGATCCGATGCGGTATGCTCCCTGAAACGACCAATATCGCTTGTCGACTATTTCCACGCGGATGCAATTGCGCCACCCATTGAACCGTGCCCGCCGCGGCACACGCTCTACATCAAAGAAACGAATCATTTCGGCGAAAATCCCGG